TTCTTTTGGTAATAAACTTTTTTTTACTATAATGATTATTTGACATATGAAGTGTATCAGGGGTAAAACATCTGTAGTTAAGAATCGATTTATAAATCGTTTTCTTTCTTAACTTTAGATGAGATCAAAAGTTATGAAGAAGGTAGCAGATATGTTAGCGACTGTTCAATTCAAAATTCTACTATTCGTAAGTGAAGAGGAGTTACTGGTTTCAGTTCCAAAATTAACATCTTTTCATGACGAGTTATCTGGCAATGAGCTTTTAAAAAACACCGTGATTTAAAAAGCATCTGAATGCGACTGCTATTTTTCTACAAAAAGCTATAGATTGGTCAATGTTTATTGTTTTGCAATTTATAATTAATTGGAATTTTAGAGTTTTTTTTTTCAATACTGTCTCTAAGCCTTCAATTATTTTTCACAATCTATGTATCTAAGGCTTTATGTGACCGGAGTTTTTCATATTTGAAATTGATAAAAACTACTTAAGATCCAACAGCCAAGACTCTCAGGTTTGATTTTTATCAATTGAATATGAGATAGTAAAGGACTCAGACTTCAATGAAGTTATTGATAAGTTTTCAGCACTGAAAACGTAAAAAAAACTATATTAAAAAATGAATAAATATCTATCATTAATGTTGTTAACTTGTTAAAGTTTTTAACACTTGTGTACGCTTACCTGACATGTGTTTAGACCTATGATCAGTTATCCGCTTATGAAATACGACTGGAACAAAAAGCGTTTGTTCTGTATTTTTATTTAGTAACATCCGTTTGAGATTATGTCACCTGGTGCGGTCCGCACCCGCTTAGCGAGGCTAGTGTGTGTACGTATTTTCTTTACCTGGCAAGAATATTAGAATAAAATAAAATTATGTATAACATTTTTCATATACGATATAGAAAAAAACAAATTGTAATAACTATAATTTCTTTAATATTAAAATTACAATTTCAGGCAACATATTGTTCTGAAACGTTTACTTGATGGCTATGTCAAAGAAAGACCACCAACGTTAGGTAAATAAAGTAAAGATATAATTAAATATCGGATTATTTATTAGACTGCATGAGGTCCTGGCCTAAATGGTCACAATGTTTTACGGACCAATTTTGGTTTCATTGGGCAAACTAAATTTTATCATCTATTACCGTTGTTATAATAATGATAATGTAAACTCTTTTATTACAGAAAATCAACTACATAAAAAAATATAGTTATTGTTAAAAATAATTATTAAATATACAATAAAAACCTAACTGCTTATTTTCTATGACAAGTAGCCTGGTACAACTGGTAAGAAATGAAAATAAAAGTTTATATATGTTTCTCATTTGGAACGAGGAAAAAAGATGGCATTTATGAACAAATGTTGCCGCGATTGACTATCGATATATACCATTCTTTGATGGAGATTGACCCAATCATTAACTTGTCTAAGCAAACTATATGACGCTGAATGTTATGATTTTAAAGTAAAAAACTAAGATACATTTCAAAGTCGTTTAACTGTTGAAAACGACTTCCAAGTTAGAAGTGAACCCCAGCGGAAATTGCAAATTTTTAGAAGATTTATACCATCACAATAAAACTTTGAATTGCGCAGGTACAGTTTTTTTAATTATACTCTCAGAGAATCTTGATAGTACAATTATTAAAGCTCTAAGAATTTGGCTAGATATGCCAAACAATTTTAATTTATAAAAAAGGAAATGCCAATAACCCGGCAAATTTTAGACCTACGACCTCTTTTCTACAATATTCTATCTTCATTAATAAAAACTAGATTATATTATTTTCTCCAACAAAATAAATTTTTCAACGTCAGCATTCAAAAAGGATTCTATCCAGACGTCGATAGCTTGGCAGAACACACACAAATGTTAACCCATCTGCTAAAAAGATGCCAGGAAAAATCAATGAAAAATTACTGTTTCCCTACTTGACTTAAAATGTTTTCAGTAAAGAAACACTTTTTCATCATTTCAATATTAACGTTTCATCACGAACCAAAAATATTTAAATCAATAGTAATATCAATTTAATCAGATTACTCAATATTTGTTTCAATAAACAACAATCATTACGTCAATAATCAATAACGTCAGCATCGCAGGTTGAGAAAGGTGTATTATGTTACTCCGAATATTGAAATTTGAAACAGTTTTGTATACCTAGGCAGATTATATGATTTTAAGGATAGAGACATTGGTGCAAAAAAAGAAATCGCTTTAAAATTGACCAAACTGCTGAATACCCTTTCAGTTCTAGACATCAAGCCGTTATACCATAAACGAATAGGACATAAGAATAAGAAACATGTTAAAATGGTCAGGAAACGTGAACTAAACATCGATATACCTGTAGACAGTGAATCATGTGAAGGATATGTCTATGGAAAGTTACATCGATTGAAATTTGGAACTCGAGTAAGAGCATCAAAACCAAGAGAATTAATTTACACTGATGTATGTGGTCCTTTTTGCTTCTCATTTCAAAATTTCACAGACTACAGATTTGTTTACTTTGTTAAACAAAAATTAGATTTACCAGAAAGACTCAGACAAATGCTTGCAGAGTCAAAATCAGCTAGTCATAAAGTCTCAGAAGTATTAAGTGGCAATGGAGGTAAATTTGAGAACAAAAAAGTCTAACTATGCCTAACTATGCCTTATACACCTCAGCAGAATGATTGCAGTGAGCGTGATAATCGAACGCTAGTTGAAGCAGCAAAAGCCATGAGACTGGCTCATGAAAAACTGCCTCAAGTTCTTTGGTCTGAATTAGTTAATACTACTTACATACTCAACCGAACTGGACCATCTTCTGCAGAAGGAAAATCACCGTAAGAAGTGTGGTTTATCAAGAAACCTAAGATAATACATCTACGAATCATTGGTAGCAAAGCCTATGTTCATATTCCTATCCAGAAACGACGAAAAGTGAATACTAAAGCTGTAAAGGGTATTTTCGTTGGATATGAAGGTGACGACGGCTACAGAATCTTTGTTCAATCAGGAAATAAAATGCTTCGATCAAGAAATGATATTTTTGATGAGAAGGTTGTCAAACCAAATTCAATGATTTTGCAAGAAGAAAGTTGTTCAGATGATACAGTTTTGATTGATGATAAAATCAAAGATGAT